CTCCCCCTCTGCCATACAATATGAACGCAGTCAAAGAGAGTAGACCTGTGTAGGTCATGAAATGGTTAGATATAAAAAAATACTAAAAAAATACTAAGAATGGGCCACTAATAATAATAATAGTATTGCTTCATGGTTTTTGCAAGCAATACAGTCATATCCTTTGTATAATTTCCTTAAAAAAACATGAAATTACCCCTAACTAATATTCCAAAATATCCTGGACTACAAAAACAATTCTTCCTTTCCAAGCTGATTCTAAAAACTTAGGCAGTGGAGTAATTAAGTTATTATTTATGCCAATCTAGATTTTCATAATAGATTGTCAGTGATATGTTCTATGATAATTATATATTCCTAAAATATTAGATATAGAGTGAAGGCATTTAACCCATGAAATGAAAATTATTCGTCAACGTGTAATAGTCAAATAGACACAAAAGAAAACAGTGGAATTAGGGTTTACTAAAGTGTTTTGGTCTAATATCTATTGCACGGGTTTAATGACTTCACTCTAATCCAAGGAGTTATAAAACTTATATGTAAGTAGACCTTTTTCTATTGACTTGAGTGACCCAGGCATCCCAGACCTCTTATTCATCCTAATTATTTCCTATAATTTGTATACTGATCCTATAAAGAGCCTATATTTAAAGAAAATCTCCTATATTTCCTATAAATAGGACGACTGGTTGCGTTAAAACAGCCCTTTCTAGTTCCCAAGAGAGGAATGCGAAAACAGAAAATAAAGTCTAGTTAATAGACATGTTCAGAGGTTGATATGCATGATAAAGATACCAATTTAAGTATAACAACTGTTAACAGTGTTACACAATAAAATAACAACAGTTTTGATCAAACAAATTAAAATTTCACATGCATGTCTTAACAATAATAGTGTGTTTATTGTTTACTATTTAATGTTTAAAAAGCCTATATTTTTTGGGGAAAATCGTATATTTTCCTATATTTAGAACTTGCCTATATTTCCTATCAAATTTGTCTAAAACATGGCTGGGATGCCTGGTGACTGCAAAAAAGTAGTCCTAAATCAAGATTTCACTTTTTATTTATGCGTTCATTAGCCTACATAGCGGCTCTTGGGGAGGGGGGTTGGGGCGAGTGGGCAGCAGGGGGCGCAACCCACCCCCTCGCCCCAACCCCCTCCCCAAGAGCCGCTACACAGGCTATGTATTTACTTTATTTTATCAAGTCCAACCTTGGGGACATTGTTTGTGGTCACTTAGACAAGCAAATTCAGGAAACATCTTTTGGATGAGTAAAATTATCTAAACATTTCACATGCAACCTGATGACAAGCCCTAAGCTATGTCATGTCTCTGATAAAATCTATGTCATATGTCAAACTTATATCATGAGGAATACCCTTCCTAATTAGCCATTCACTGGTTGAGGGGAGAACTATGTTGAGATGGCACTGCAATGCATTTTGGGACTATTTTAGGGGACTAAATAGACACCATGTCTTGGAAATGTCCCCCAAAACAGCCCCACAATGCACTGCAATACCAACTCAACCCAGTTTTTTCCTCAACCTTGGAACTGCTAGATAGAGCTCACCTAAGACTAGCATCCCATCCCATACTCTAGTTTTTCCTAAGACTGACTATGTGTAATGAAAATGCTGTCAGGCAAGAAGATTATATGGTAATATAATGGCAATCTTGATCGACTTTGGCAACCCTTTATGCAATTTTTATCCATGCATGACTAAAAGAACATTAATTTTTAAGAAGATTGTGCTGGCTCTGGATTTCTGTTATGGGTGTCTGGAAGCTCCTGAGCCCATATTAGTGCATTATTACCATTGGTATCTTCTTGTACTGGTTGAAGAATATCCCGATAAACTAATACAGTATTTACCAACCAAACCAGAAAGGTTACAAAACCAAAACCCTGTAAAAGAACATTTTCAGGTCATAATAATAATAGAGATGCAAAAAAAGAATGTAAGGTTATTGTTTGCAAATTGCTCATCATCATCATCATCATCATCGTCATCATCATCTTCAACAACAACATAACCATCATATCATAATCACAAGAGAAAATGAACTAAGAGAAGGAATCCCCATGCCCCATCATGTGCACACTTCGATGCTATCTTTAGCATCATTGATGCTATTTTTAACTCGTTACCATGCCCGCGCGATAATCATGCTTCTCTTTAATGCCTCATTTTAGGACACGTCCACGACAAAAACAAAGGCTTTGTTTACTGCAAGACTGGAAGCCACCTACCCTCAAGAAATCAGCCAATCAGGTTCTTTGCTCAAAATGTCTCCAAGGTAAAAATAGCATCAAACTGTGCACATGATGGTTACAAGGCTATATGGGTAGGATTCCTTCTCTTAGTTCATATTCTCTTGATAATCATCAAGGACATCATCATATTATCATAACAACATCATCACATAATTATCAAAATCAACAGCACCATTATTAATATCTTTTACGAACATAAACTCTCCTAGTTATATGAGCCAATCAAAAACCGTTATAGTATAACCCATATGAGTATAAATCCAGGCCGTGTAACAAAGATTTTACAATAATATAGGTATTTCAAAGAAAAATCAATTCTATCAATGATACTTACCACAGACAGGAATAGAGTGGTATAATCTGGAAACTTCTTGATTGGATTGCAATCTTCCTGGCCATCAACACAGTTGCTTTTTGCATAACTTGCAAATCTATTTAACTCTCCTTCAACTTCTTTCCTCAGAGTAAAGACATTGTACAGCCACAGGCTGGTGCTCATAACAAGAAGAAAGGAAACAATTATGGCAGAAAAGAGTTCCTGAAATCCAATAGAAATAAGTCTGTTTTGAATAAATTACAAGACAATCCAGCATTCCTTTCGGTCATCAGTTTCATGCTTCTTTCATGTTTCATGTTACTTTCAGCCAGTGCAACAATTTTTGGAATAGGTGCATAACATATATTTTTAGAATAGGTAATAACTTAAAATAACCTACAGTACTTCTTTAATGCACTCTGATTGGTCAATATACCATCTAAGATGAGAGTAGATCTAAAACACTCACATCATTTTTTCTACGCATGCTCTCTAAATTTGAAATTTCATAGGAAAAATAAACATGCATAATTGTGGAGGAACGAAAAGTGGAGGACCAGACAAAAACCCTTTTAAGAATCAAGTGAGAGACTGTAACAAACTCTACTAACATGTGAATTAGATTTTGAGACCTCAGAGGTGATAGAAAA